AACTCCATGTCACAATACCATTTCATCACGCACAGCCAATCTGTTCGAGCTCACACAGGAAAACATTAAGATTATACCAAGGATAAGACACGAGCTCTAACCACAGACCGATAGACATGGCTGGCATCCAATAAATTAAAAGAATAATGATTTTATTCGTGACTTTTGCTCACCTGTTTTTCCGAAACTCCCACTCAAGCACACAGCTAGGTGGTCTTATGAACTGCGTATACACTGCCTGGGCTTGCTGGGGTAATCCTGGCTTCCACTAAAGTAGCCGTGTGAGAGGACAGATTGTCAGTTGATCATGGCTAGCCGAGAGCCTTATCCCTTATTGGATCGGCCATGGAGGAGGCTTAGGAATTATCTGAGGCCTCACTTAATGTGGAGAAGGATCACCACCAGAGAGCTACAGAGCCTGAAAACACGCTGGGCCTGAGGGGAGAGCAATACACTGTGTATAAGAGAGTAAAAGAGAGCTGTGTGTTTGCGTGCATCAATATGTGGTTGTGAAAGAAGCTTGTGTGCATGTGTGTGTGTGTGTGTGCGTGTGTGTGCACAGCAACATCACGGCCCACTTAACCCCATCTTGACATTGCTCTCTCACTTCCTCTTTGATATTTGTCTATTTCTTTGCATCCATTTCCCTCCTCCTACTCCTCTTATTCCCGTTACTCCTCTCCTGCTTCTCTCTGGTCTTTTTTTTGTTGTCATTCCTCTCCATTTACTTCTCCTCTGTCTTTATTCCATACAATTTCTTTGACTTTAAATCTCTCCTCTCCTATTCTCCATCTCTTCTATTCATTCCATGAGAGAATTGCCGTTTTACTCCTTGTACACTCCTTAAAACTTCTCCAGGTTCTACAATCCCACAACAGTTTTACTTACCTCGGCTGCAGTTTTCTTACTATTTTAACCACTCTATACACATACGCGGCAAATTATTTATTTTTGTCTCTACAGGAAGATATCTTCTAGAGATAAAGGAGACAAAGCCACACTATGTTAACAAAAACTGTTGACCAAAGTTAAATTCAATTCAATTCAATTTTATTTATATAGCGCCACATCACAGTTGTCTCACAGCGCTTTCCAAACAGAGCAGGTCAGACCCTACTCTTAAGTTAACTACAGAAACCCAACAATTTCCACCAAAGTGACATGTCTTGTTAGCCAGTACAGTTAAGCCTACTAATAGAAACACAAAAGCCGACAAGTTGATTCTACACCAATCTCTGTGATGCTAAAAGCACAGTTGTCAGAAACAATATGCATCCTGTGGGGCCTTTAGGGGACCACTAATATTGGACAGTAAGAGTACATGATGAGTGCTTCAACTTTGTAAACATTCAGCATTTTAACAATCTGAAAAGCAGTAAGATTGCTTCCACACACATACTATCTTAAGCATCTTTCCATTTTTAAATGAAAGTATATGGGCTCTTTTTAATTAAGTCTTGGTACTGAGAACAGAATAACAGCCTCATCTCAAGTACTTTTAGCTTAACTTGGCTTAGTTAGTGAGATAGTATAATAGTACCCGTCTGAATCCCCTTTAGGTACTCGAAATAGCCCTTTAGCTAATTCAATCTCTGCTCTTGGCTCATTCGCCTTTGAATCTTTCAGCATTCCTCAGAAAATCAAGAAGACATTTGTGGTGTGAAAGATGCTTGGATCACCGGGATACCCTTTTTTTAGCATGGTACCACTAAAATCTAAATCAGGATAAGCAATGGGAAGAAAACTGAGAAGCGGATGGATAATTCCGTCCCTGTGCATGTGATTACTGACAGCTACTGAAGCCAGATTAGTGTTGTGTTAAGTCTTGGAGTGACCGGGGGTTAGCTCCAGGTCATCAGGATGTAGAAGGATCATGTTGAGGACAGGGGAGTATTTCCAAAGGGTGGCTACAGCTGAAAATTCTTGCTCAACACGTGTCCCATCCTCAGTACACTGTTACAGAACATATGCTGAAGGTTGGGGATCAGGCTCTCATAAATCTCTCATAAGCATTGTAAAGAGGACCCCAACATTTTCCTATCCCAAAACTATCAGTTCCAGCACAGAGTTGAGTGTTTCTGGTACACAATCTCACAGCAGCACAGAGGACATCCAGGATTAACCAATAAATACATTAAGCAAAAGAAAAAAAAGAAAGAAAACAATTCACAGACTCACAACTACACTGTTTCCTTTTCTTCATCTAGTAATTGAAGGTGAGAAATAATTTCATTATCCTCAGGAAGAGTAATCTACTCTCTGTTCCTGATCCCCTCATTTCCTACAGTGCACCTCGACCTGGGAGGCTCACAAGCACACACGTACACACAAAAACTCACAAGCAGACACCACATGCTGCCACACATGTACCTACACACATCACGCACAAAGTTCTTTTCACCCTGGGCTATTAATGTTATTGGAACTAGAGATTATCCATCAGATCCTCATATGCTTTGCAAAGCTTCATTACTTGAAGCTGTCTTTCTTTCTCTTACACACAAATACATGTGTTTGCACACTCTTGCACACACGCTGGTTTACAGCTTTAAGTGGAGAAAAGTTAATCTAGTCCATGGACGGAAATGGAGGGTCCGAAGCCCTGACTAACACTTTGCTTTATTATGACTAAAGTAAAGTGAACTACAGGATTCAGGGTAAATTGGCATTAATTTTGTAACAATGACAGATTTTGCAACATATTTGGTTCACACATATAGATGTAAGAATCCCTCAAGGGATGTGCAGACGACTTAGATAACGGTGCTTTGAAGCTTTTCTCCTCTGTCATCATTATAGAACGATTAAAAGGCCTCCATCATCGCACACATCATCAGAAACAGCAGCATAAAGACATAATCAAAGCCTTCTTTTTTGCTCTCTGCTTGTGTTAAGTGCTGGATCACATGCAGTTTAATGTTACATTACCACCCTCTACTGTTCATCTACCCAAGATGTTCTGGGTGACCCCGCATGTCAAGTGTTGAATGTTGACACAAAGGGGAAGCTCTGACCTGTCATTTCACAGGGCAAAGGTGTGTGTTCCCAAGCCATTATGTTTAATGTGAACACACAATCAAAAGGGGTCGGGGCCAAAGTTGAAGCAACTTTGAGGATTCATCAAAAGAAAAACACTTCATGCTTGTATCTCATGTAAAAATGTAATTACAATAAGCTGAACCTTGGCAATCAGAAAGCTTTTCTGGTTTAATCCTGTAGGTCTCATATAGTGCTGCAATGCTATGCTGGATAGAGTCACTATGAAGAAATTTGTTTTTATTTTTGTTTTTTATACTTATCTACAGCTATTTATGTTTTATTCAAATAAGGCTTTCATGTGGTTGATGTGTAAAATTTAATATACCTCAGTGTAAATGATAATCTATGGCTTTTTTTTCAAATTTTGGGCACACACATTTGAGGTGAGAGAGAGGAAGTCACAGATTTACTTCATGCAAGAAACATGTCAGGGCAGGACTTTAAAGTTATTACTTTGAGCCCAGTGTCTGGGCAGGGAGCACATAGAAGTCAAACTGGCAAAGCCAGGAGATGCTCAGGGAAGTGAAACACGGCTGAACTTCTATTAGTCCTTCTGTTTTTGTTGACGGCCTAAAAAACAGAATAGCAGCACGCTTCACCTTTGAATCCTGTAAATGTCAAGTTTGAAAGCATCAATATGCATATCAAAGAAAAATAATTTAAGATGGGGAAAAGCGTTGCTTTATCTACTGTATAAAAGCACTGACCTGTGTGCCACTGGACAATATAAAGATTTCTGTACTGTGTGACAAGCTATTTGCTGACGAAGAACAATAGATGGAATTGGAAATGTCAGCTTTGTAGGTGTGTTGATGCTCTCTGGGCACACAGTTTAGCTGCTTAGGCTGTCATTGTATTTGTATATATGTGTGTGTGTGTATGTGTGTGTGTGTGTGTGTGTGTGCATACGTGCTGTCAGGGCAAGCTGTAGAAAGTATGTCTTTTTTTCTAATGTGGAAAACGAATATTTGGACATTTTATCAATAGGCATTATTAAATCCTGCTTGCTTGAGCTAATCTTGCCAAACCGGAGAGAGTGGAAGGGAGAGTTAGAGACAGAGTGAATAAGTGAGATAGACACAGTGAAGGAGAGCGAAAGAGCAGTGATGTCTGCCCCATGAGGTGATGAGAGACCGCCTGTAAGCCGCTTATTATATCGACTGCTACCTTTTCTCTCTCCTCCTCCAACACTCCCCATTTTTCTCTTGTTACCTCGCTCATTTTCTATCTCCGTCTCTCTCCCTTGCTTTCTTTCTCCAACTCAATCTATATCCCCTCATTCCTTAAAAAAAAAAAAAGAAAAGCAACTCGCGCACGCACCGGCTGCACCAAGGCAAACCTTCTTGTTCAAAGCCAGAAGCAAAAAAGCTGAAGTTTTATTCAAATGACTGTTTACTTCTTCTACTGCCAAGATGTGCGTGTTTGTCTCTAGATGTACATGTGTGCGCTAAGGAAGAGGGGAAATAGTTCGGAGCATGCAAGTGTGCGTGTCTTAGTGTGTGTTACATGCACGACAGACGGAGAAGGGCTGACAGTAGGTGATAAGCCAGACAGGCCTGCACGCTGTGATTATCACCCACCGGACCCCCTGTCTCACACACATTCTCTCATACACACACTTGCATACACAATGGCCAATGAGAGAGTGTGTCGCAAGGATTTAGGATAGACAGACGGACAGGCAAACAGACAGAGAGAAGCCTTGGATCACAGGCAAGGTGGAAACCACAAGAGAAGCGAATGAACACAGACTAGAAAATACAAAGCTTCCCATTATGTTGCTCTGAACATTCAATTTATTTGTGTTTTAGATCAATGTTAATGTCTTATGAAACACGTTGTCACACCAGAGATGTTTAGTTTATGCTCGTAAATGAAAGAAAATGGAGTAAATTGTTGCTGAAATGTACCCACAGCCAGGCGTTTTAGTGACTGACGGCCTTTTTGTGTCTTTTCTCCAGGTGTGTGGCCATCGGAGGAGGTGATGGCGCATTACTGCCTGCAAAAACGTCACATGTTCAAGTGAGTTATGTATTTGAATCTGTTCAGTTTTTTTTTAAATTCCATACAAATTCAGTAGCTTTACTGTCTGTAGGAAAGTGCCCCTTAGACAGAAGTATTTTTGATCAAGACATTCAAAGAGGGGATCTCACATAAGATGATACCGGCCTGAATTTCAGGAGACTGCTTTTTGATATAAAAATGGTCCATTATTTTGTCAACTCAAACCTGAAAAAGCAGGAAGAAAAATAAATTATCTTGAAAATATTTACAATTTTGAAGGTAAAACTGAAGAACAAATTATAAGGAGATGGTGTTAAATGAGTTCAGATTAACATGAATTCATATATCAAACTACATGACCACTATGTAACATTCACTTCTGTCAGCTTGACCGTTTGAAAAACAGACTCCGATTTAAATTTGAGTGGGAATGCTGGATACACCTTCCCATGCCACGCTGGGCTGTTACATGCTGCTCTTTTCCCGGCTCTTGTCTGCTGCACATTGGCCTGCCCTATGGCACAGGGCTGAAAAGCACCCAGGCACTTTTGATTTCCACTCAAGGTGGAACGTCACCCTTTGATTTCCTGTTTTAACATTCAAGAGGCGGGAGGCAAGGAAGAGAGGGTTATTGATCAGAGCAGCGTAGTGAAGGTCACCATGAGAGGGAGGGAGACAGGGAGGGTTGAAAGAGGACAGGGGTAGAGATGGAGGGGTAGGGGAGATGAAAGGAGGAAGAGGATGGAGAGAGGGGCTGAATGAGCCTGTGAGCTACAGGACTGTGTGTGTGTGTGTGTGCGTGCGTGCGTGTGTGTGTGTGTGTTGCTCAGATTTCGCGGTGATTGAGCTTGTGCTTCTCAGTGTTCAGTTTTCAGCTTTCAAGTTGATGGTTGAATTGATATTTCTTATCCTGCTGTGTTTACTGCTGTTGGGCAGTGTGTGTGTGCATATTGTACATCTTCACATCTACTGTACAGCACGTGCGCGGTTGTGAACATGTGCGGGTGGGTATTAAACTGCTGGATTTGGCTGAGCAAAGTGAATCTGACGCCCCCTTTCCCCCTGTCTTCCTCTCCGTCTCTCAGGGGTGCCGTGTGCGAGTTAGGTGGAGGTATGACCTGCCTCGGTGGGCTCATGGTAAGTGACACATACAAGCACAGATTTTGTCATCAAAAGGGGTTCGGGTACTGTCATGAAAAAAACAAAAATTTGTAAAAACTTTTTGCGGGGGAGGCCATGTACCCGTTTTCACCTGCCCGAGTATCTGCATGAAAACTATAACTAACCCGACAGGATTTTTGTTGGAAATGTTGGACTTCTAGATCTGGAAAAGATCAACATTCAACAGGAGCGCTTTTTTGGCTTTCTTTTTTAAAACAATTAGTTTAAGCTGTATCTCACCTTTGATTGGACGAAAATCATTATCACAGAAACCCCACAGTTAAGCTGAGATCTGTCTTCCACTTAATACACTCGTATTTAAGTTTTGATGACAAGTTTGCACACAAGGCCTTTTGAGACACGGATAAATACCAATAATGGCTTGATAAATCTGTCAAGGAAGTGAGAACGTAATCTCAAATGTTGGCTTCATTCGGACATAATAGTGGGTAAAGTGATGGTGACTTTTAGCCACATGAGAGTCGTAGTAATTCAGATCCCTCCCTCAGCCATCATGTATACCACGGTTGAAATGAATGACAGCCCCTTTTTACATCCAGACGAGTTCAGGCGTGCACCATTTTGAAATTTCAACACAGCCTGGTCACATTTCCATAATGTTGTGGAAAAAGCTGCTTGGTTTTTCACATATAACAGGGACATCTTCCTTTGCAGTGCGACCAATTGGGGAAAAAAAAGAAGAGGCTTCAGATATATGAAGTCTTCTCAGAAGCGGCCCACCAATGGCATGTTTCGTGCACACTCTCAGATATGCTGCAGCCTGTCAGCCATAGGGTTTATTAGCCAGTCTTCAGGGCCCCTCCACATCGCAGGCGTCAGTGTCCCATCGATCTGTTAGATGCCATTCTGTGTGTGCGTGTGTGTGACAGCTGGGTTTTATCTCTTGGCAGTCAATACACCATGTTTTGACATTGGTGGCCTGAGATGGAATCCTTCCTTCACACCTCTCTTTCTATCTTTCCCTCTATGTCCGTCACTGACACCACTTTCGCCACATTTGTTTCCCATCGCGTACTGTTACTTGTTGCGTTATGTTCCTCCGTCCATTCCACGTTTTTCTCCCATCCTGGACTTTTTTATTTTGTGCCTCCACAGATGAGACGCAGATTGTTATACATATATATATATATATAGTTTCCAAAATTGATTGAACCTGAGAGATGTTTAGTCTCAACACATTTAGCTTCCAGAGAGGTACTGTATTATGTGGATGATGTTATGAGAGGCTTCACATTTAAGCTATTAATGCCCTGCATGGAGGTGAACTGTAAATATGTCTAAAAATAAAGGAGCCAGAGGAAGCAAAATGCCGCAAAAGTCTGATTTATCAAATCTGTCCATACCTTCATTTTCAAGTAGTAAGCCACTTTTGTATTTTACTTTTCTCATAACAGTGTGAAAGACATTTGATGAACATTTGACTTCTTTTTTTAACTGACTGATTTAACAGAGATAAATGGATCTACAGAGTAAACAGGTATTTTCATCTCTTTGGTGTGGGGTACTGCTTGTCGGGTTGGGCTCTGTTTCCAGCTGGGTGCTCTGGCTCAGCCTGGAGGTCCCATCCCTCATTTGAGCAGATGGTGGGACGTTCAGTTCAGCACTCAGTGACTCCCCCAAAACACCCTCCAGCGTCTGAACATGTGTGGCGGGATGTATGTCTGTGTTAGTTTCAGAAAACTTCAAACACTGTTCTCTCTGTGCTGTTTAAGGCCACACGGGCCCCCGAATCAACCAGCCTAGCGAGGCAATATGCACTCGCACCTGTAAAAATGTTCACGCACACACCCTTGAACCAAATCTGACAGCCTGACACATCCTAACTGATGTAAAAAAAAAAAAAAAAAGGCACCGGCAAAGAAAAAACAGAATGTTGAAAGATGAGGTTAGAATAGAGCACACACCTCTCTATCTCCATCTCTCTCCCACACGTCGCAGCGTAAAAGCTCTCCTTTCATTCTCTGGTCTCCCTCCCTCTCTTTCTCATCGTCTTTTTCAGTCTGCACCGCAAAGTTATATGAAGGGCATCAGGCAGGCCTGGCGAGCCGAGTGCAGAGTGACAGCGGCGAACGGAGTGATGGCTCGGCCTGATAAACACCCAGCGTCAAATGAAAAGGCTCTGCGCTTGCCATCATCCCCTGTCACAATGCAATTACTGAACAGAGTGATAGCAAGATAGCAGCCCCCACCGCTAGCCACAATGATAAAAGTATTGACTGATTTGATTGAATGATTAAAATAATGCAGACATAAAAATGGGGTGAAGATAGAGAGGAAAATGGCAGGCAGGAGAGGGAGCAATGGAGGGAGAGGGTGGGATGGGCCAGGCTGCCAAGAGTGAAGCTTTATAGATACGGTTATGTCATTATTGTGCGTGTGTGTGTTCGTTCACGTGTTTGCTTCATCTAAGAGTGCTTTTGGTTTTGTTCTTTTGTTCCGTGTTGTTTCATTTTTTTTTTCTGTCTTTTTCCTGTCTCTGGCTCACAGGTTGCCATTTCTGCTGACGTGAAGGAAGTCCTGCTATCAGATGGGAATGAGAAGTCCATTCAGAGTATCCTTTTATCGTCCTCTCTGCTTTTCTGTTATCTGTCCATCTTTGCCTTATTCCCCTAACTCACTTTTATTCATCTGCAATTACATAGATTTGTTCCCTCGAGACATTTTTTTTTGCAGTTGCTCTTTGACAGTTTAGTGTTTTATTATTTTTTTCACAGAGATGAAAGATCTCACCTGGATTTATTCACATGATGTAATGAAATCAACTTCAATAATTGTGTGAAATGGGAAGTTTTCAGAATCTTCAATTCAAATAACAATGAGTAATCATGTCTTTTTTTTCTAATATAACCACTTAGACTCATTAGTGTTTTAAAAATGAAATTTTGATTGAATTTTGTTTGCTCTTTTTCATTGGATCTGTCAATCAATACCTTCCACACCGAAGCAGAGTGCAGCCAGAGAGAGTATTAACACTTCTTAGTCTGAGGCCGTGATTCTTTGGCAGAAAAAAGTGGATTGTCAACTTCAGTTTGTGGATAAATTGTTGCCCTTAGTGAAGGATTTTCACATAACGTTGGGGTCTTGTTCTGGAGTGGGAGAAGAATGGAGCTGGATATTGGGAGGGGTTCAGGGCTACTGCACAAGTCTGTAATGGTGAGTGGTGAGAGCTGAGCCAAAAGACCAAACCGTTGATCCACTGATCGATATGCATTCTCACCCTCAACCTGTAGTCGAGGAATATGTGTAGTGACCCAAAGAATAAGATCAGGGATACAAGCGGTGGGGATAAGCTTCCTCAGAAGGTTGTCTGAGCAGAAAAACTCAGTGAAGACCTCAGTCAAGAGGGAGCCGCTGCTGTTTCCAATTTATAGGGGCATCAGGATGCCTCTAAGATGTGGTAGAGTAAAATGAGAGATTATTTGCCAAAATTACAGTTTGGAGCCCCGCAAATCTTGTTTAAAAAATGCTCGTCAGAAAAATATATTTTTTATATATTTTGTTCCTGAAAGTCATGGAAATGTATACTTTTGCAACGTACATATGAAATTCACAGACAATATATGAATTGGAATTAGACATATCAGACCTTTCTCTAATTTCAGTGTAATGATATTTCCAATGTTTTTTGGAAACCAGTGTTCCATATCCGTTGCTTATTGTGGTGCTGTTTATAACTGAGAGAAGAATGTCTTCAATTTAGATCTTAACATAGCCTCTGCTAAGTTAAGGAGGTGATTTTTGGGTCATTTTAACTCAGGCAGGGCCCCACAATGTGCTCCTCCCCACTCGCTTTAGATAATATTTGCTCACTAGATTAAATAGTATGAAAATAAGAGTTTGTAAAGTAAAGTAGTTCCAATGAACAATTTTCTTGTGGAAAAAGTAAAAATCTGGTGTAAACGCGTTTACCACTTGTTGAAAACACAGTTTCCTTGATGCTTGTCGTCCTGTTATGTTCTTCAGCTTCTGAGTAACAAACGGAGGTAACCTTTTGTCATCGCTGCAGCACTGCGTGGTGCGAAATCAGTGTCCTGGCAATATCACACACAGACAGGAAGGTTTTCTGAAGTCTTTGTGGAGTATAATTCAATTTTAAGGGAGCTGGAAGAGGGACTTTATAAAAACATGCGACAGCAGATGTTTTTTCCGCTTTGTTTCTTTTTATTGTGTGGAGGGTGAAGGAAGGGTGAAGGAAACTAACCTATTCAGTCAAGTTCAGGAAAAAAGACAGTTTTTGATTTTGAAATACACAACTTGTTAATCCAATGATGCTAAAACACTCCACATTGTTGCCCGTGTTTGCCTGCCGAGTTGAAAAGCTTCCCTTTGAGCAGATTTTTCACTGCGAGGGGTCTTTAGAACAAGATGCTTCGGCTTACTTAGTGGATGTCATTCTGCGTTTCAGAGCAGTCACCAAGGAGCTTGAGCGAGGTCTAAGTAGAGGGAAGTATTTTTTTGGCATCTCTGCTGAAAATTAAACTCCCATGAGCCGAACTGAACGAGCGTGGACAACTAAATGGAAGGATGGAAGTCTAAGACTCTTTTATAATTACACGATTATCATCTTTGTTGGAGAGTGATTTGTTTTGGCAGTATTCGCTGGAGACCCGCAGATGAATTTGTTTACAAGGAAAAATGCGCTTCATTATTGTCCCATGTGCAGAGTCTGCTTAAACAGTAATGAATCATTGTGTCAAATCATCGCGCATTGTCAATTAAATGTCAAAGAAGCAAGAAACGTAGAATTAGGCTGCTGCAATAAGTCATTTAATCACCATATGCTCTGTGGTCATAGTTAATCTACCTTTGGTGACCTGAAGTCAAAATATGGAGGAGAGGCTATCCACCTCTTTCAGCTTTAGGGGAAAGCAGTTTGTGGTGCGCCATCGATGACAAGTAGCCGGGACTCGCACTCAACATGGCATCTACCAATCCTAAGTGCCCACAATGCCAAGTTAAGAGCATCGTAATTGCCATTCTGTCAGATGTTATTTGAGACTTTATCTAATGTTGAGGCCATGGTAAGGGCTTGATGTGTTCTTTAGAGGCTTGAACAATCAAGGCAGGTTTTCAAATACTTTTGTCCAGTTAAGTTTTACGCTATAATTTAGTGTTTTAGAGAGGTCCTTTGGTGAAATTCTCGGCAGCAGTTGTTCCCTGAGTGGGGTATTGATCAGCTGTGCCAGTTTGCAAACCGTCAGGGGCTTTCTTTTCCTCATATTACACTTCATTTTTACACTTCTCCCTGCCTGATCTCCTTTGTCACTTGTTGTTTTCCCTATCACTTTTCAGAATTCCCGAGATTTTATTTTTATTTTCTCTCATCCTCTAGATCTTGCTTGAAACTCTCAACAGATACACGGACAAGAAAAAAAAGGCTTGCCACAGTTTTTTTTTTCACAAAAGAAGGAAATGTAAATACACACTTCCCCATTGACCAATATGGCACTTCCAAATTTAGCTCTGTTTACAATATCTCTGTTTCAGCCGGCTACAATGCTCCCTTTCTGATCACAATAAGACCAAACAATAACATTTTGGAGACTGTTAAACACACACTTGGGCACACAAACAATGCACCATTGACCAAGCGCTTTGTGTCCGAGAGCAAACACATAGACAGAATTGTAAGTGAAATCATAGTGAGAACGGATCGAATACACACAAGAAAAGGGAAGGTTGAATAAGGCACATAATTTGTTCTGGGCTTAGCCAAATTGGCCCCTTTCACACACTACAGACACTGTGTGGTATTTCCTCATGTTGAGGAAGCTGTTGGTCTGAGCCTTGTGCAAATGGCCTCTGTTTATCTCACATGGCCTTATTTTGCAGCTAGTGTTAGAATAGAAAGAGATGGTGAACTGTGATAAGGCTCACATTTATACAGTGAAATAGATGAGAAGATATGCAAGACCGAAGTTGTGAACAGATGACATTTAGAAATATCCGGAGAATGGATTTTTCACCTCTTTTCTCAGACGTTTTTTGACCCCATTTCTTGGGCAGAAACACACATTAACTAACACACACAATGGAGTGGAGAGACCCTTTAGCTGTGACCTTGAATACTCATGTTGAAAATCAATTCAAATCTTCCATGACGAGTGATTGATGCATGTCATTGGCTGTTTCTTGGCTGCCTCAAGTGATGGGAGCAAATGGTGTTCCACTTTAATGTTCAATAACTTACAATTCTCTGTTTGACTTTTGATTTCTCTTTCTGAATATTTGTGTGTTCTGATCTCCTATCCCACCGGTGTGCTGGTGAGGAGACGACACACACTTAAGCATTTCCAGCCTATGTGGGTCATTTTCCCAAGTGCTTATGGGAATATTGCATTTTAGCTAACATTTGATGCCTTGTTCATCCATAACATGCATATATGTGTTTTTGATTCTGAGGTTTGATTGGTTTTCCAGCTATCATAATGTCTATCGACCCCTCAAATGTTCCAGCTTGTTCTTTCTCTCTTGCCTCCTTTTGGTCTTCGTTTATTGGATTTGTCTCAGCTCTTTGCAGGCTTTAAAGACAAGGAAATCCTAATTGAATTGCTTCACAACTCCACAAGCCACTGTATTAATAGACAACTTGACATCAATCAGCCAGCCTTTGTGTGTGCTTGTGTGTGTTTGCGTGTTAGGGACGGACAGTGTGGGTTTTTGTATGTGTGGTTAAAAGCCTTTCCATTGATCCAGTGAGCGGCTGCTGTGATCAGGCTCTCTGTCCCCGGAGATCATCTTTGCTCACCCATAATTTCTCTGTGCGTGGCTCTGCCATATTTGTTTAGACTTTTTTCCCCCTTATTCATGCTTCTTGATACCCATGATTATAATAACCTTTTATGGAAGATCTTTATTTGTGTGGCCAACAGCATGAAGTTCCTGATTAGTTAGATGGTGAATCTTTGTTGTTCTGTCTTACTGTTTTTTGTGTTTGGAACACAACCAAGACTAAGTGTTGGTTATTTTATTCAATAAGGAACCCATTTGAGATGTGCTCTGTTAAGACCATTATACCTGTGACTGCGTGAAATTATTCTATTAATGAGAAAGAAGTGAGACAATCCTAGTATAAGTTAGTGCTTTGGTTCAGGGTTTGGGGGGCATTGTAGTAATACATCACACATTTTTTTAATCTTTTTTTGTAATTTATCTTTACTGCAAACGGTTTTTAACATATGAAGTGTTATTGCTTGACTGTATAACTTCAGATGTGCGAGCACTGATTGAGAGAAACAGGCAAGCTGGAAAGTTTGGATCAACACGTGTGTCTTCCAGGTGAGATACATTTTTTGGACGCTGCTATTTGGGGCTTTTCGCCCCCTTTATATTTCAAATGGCTCAGTTTGACTTCACCGTTTTTTTCCCACAGTTTGTTATATCACTGTTTCATTAGGACGTAGTTTAAAATTAGATACTAAAGACACAATGTGTAAGTGCTTCCTTGTGACAAAGTTCCTGCACACTGTGCTGACTAAAGAATGTGCAAAATTAAAAATGTTGAGACACAAACAGCAAAAAAGTCTTCAACACCTATCAACCAGAAGTATGGATTTATACTTTTTGATTTTAAGAAAACAGATATGAGCTCAGTGCAGAAAGTTCTTATGCTTCTTTTTAGAGACTCCAACCTTTTTTAAGTCTCTTTTCCAACAAAAGGTGATTGTAGCTGCTCTCTCCCACATTATAATAGCCAGATAAAACATGTGAATGTTTAGTTGCAGCTATCGTTGCTGTCATAACTGGTAAATCCCACCAAGAAATTGTGGTATGGAAAAGTGAAAATACAAAAATGTATTTTAGGCAGTTTGCATCAGGGTCTGCCTCATGGAAGTGAGGCACACTATATACCCCAGAGATGATTGTGATATTGTTGAAACATTAAGTACCTCAAATGTTCTGGGGATTCCTACTGTTCAAAGTTATTCTGCGCTGCTACATTTTCATTTAGTTTTTTAGTCGAAATATTGTAAAAAAAAAAATTGAAAAGTGTACAATGTGAGGGAAAATGGGAGAGAAAGATTTGGTGAATAACGTGTGTTAAATGTAATATGTAATTTGCTATGCTCTAACTTCAACTCTTAGCAACTAAGATAATCTTCAAATGCCATGTTGTTATCTACTGACTGTTGTTTTCTTTTATTCCCTTCTTCAGCAACCTCATTGTAATTACCAGAAAAATGGCTGAATGTAACATTTTAGACTCCTCAAACTTATCCAACTGTCAGAAAGTCTGTCATTTGGCTTAACCCCTTGCTGGCATTTGAGGAAGAGAAACTAGAGAAACAGTTTAATTCAATTTATTCTTTTGTGAAGTATTTTTCTGAGGTGGATTGCACTTCTTTTTTGATAACCTATCTCATGATTGTCTTCTATTACTTAATTAAACATAACTTAAACTGAGCCAAATTAGGCATTTATCTGGATCACATTTGAAGTTTTTAACTTTTATTTCTTCACTTGTAATGAATAAAAGAAACAATCAAGCACTGGTTGGGTACATAGTGTGAAAGAGCACTTTGAGTATAAAGTCCATACATAAGTGTGTGATTGGGATCATCAAATTAACGTGACCCCCTTTAATTGGGATTTCTCATCCAGAAACCAGAGTCAGAACACACACAAAAACACACACCTCATCAGAAGGTATAAGGACAAACTAAAACAGACTAAAACAAATTTAATTGTTGTCCCCATCTCCAAAAACATTTTCCCTTGACTGACTGCTTTGCACCCTCTCCTCCTCTCTCTCCGTCTCTCTGTCTCTCTTTCCTGTGCATATTTACATGAGTGGTAGATGGAGTGAAAAAGTAAACGTATAATTAGGCTACATTACTTTGATTGTTTTCTTTTCAGATTATGCCTGCTGTCATCTCTGCGCTGCAAGAGGGGGCGAAGGGCATGATGCGATTGTACAAGGGGATGGATAGGGAGGGGCATGTCGCGTGGTGGTGTGTGCACACGCAAGCATGTGTGTTCGTTTGTGTGTGTGTGTGTTGGGGCGTCCTGCTGCGAACTGAGATTGTATTTCTAGCGAGGCCTAATGTTTTGTTTAGTGAGTGTTCAAAATGCCTAATTAATAATCCCCCAATCTGCCTGACAGTGTGAAAGAGAGAAAGGGAAAGTGATGTGGAAAAAGAGATGAAGAGGGAAGCTCAGCTATTTTAACACGCCCGCAGCTACAGCCTAAAACTACTGAAAACCAAAATCGCTGCAAACAAAAAAGTGCCTTAGTCTGCCACCCTACCTCAAACAACTCCCTGCAGATTGAGTGCCATTAGTGACCAGTAAAGTACCAGACCGTTGCCCCACATCCTGTGTGCTGAGACTGGCGGAAATACAAGAAAAATACCAGCACAGAGAAAATTAAACAAAGCGGTTGCCTTCTTGAAAAGAAGGAATATATCATCTTGTTGAAAAAAGTAAAAGGAGAAGAGGCTTTTTCCCCACATTGATATCAAGATATCAGAAAATGAAATCCCGTTGGGAATTCATGGACTGCAGATGTGCTCAGTGGGAAGTGATTATATCATGCACTGGTTTGTATTACACCTAAATTAAAGCAGTGTTGCAATAATCATTATTAGTGTTTCAAATATAGAAAAATATGGAACCGTTTTCAGCAAACTGCCTGATACCACACAGGGTTACTGAATCACTGCACTCTGTAAAGATCACAATACTTTCCCTGTATTTTTTGGGGAGTTGGGGGGGCAGGGGTTAATTTCTTCCCAAGCTAAACATTAAAGACCAGCATATCCATTAGATTTGATTGTTTCCATGCTAATTTGAATTTTCACACAGTTTGTTGGAGGATATCATGGCAAAAAACCCCTCAATAGTTAAATATTAGATCTCCAGTGGTGTTCATCGAGTTTCTAACTTTTCATCCCAAGAATAGCGGTTTAACATCTTGTGCCAGGTCAACCAGATTCAGTTTTGACAAGGATTTATGTCAAACTGTCAGATATATGCGTAGACTTTCTATTATATGATTTTTTAAAATGTATTTTAACATTTTCCGTTCAGGTAACACTGCAGGTTTAATTTGTATGCCAGCAAACAAGATAAGTGTCTTCCATTTATTCAGCTTCCACAACTGAACATGAAGTGCACTACTGTGGAAACCATGAAAACATTTTCTTAACCAATAGGACAGAAATCTGGAAACAGGAGCTCCTTGAGGGTCTGTTACTGCTTTACAGAAAAAGCTATCATGACAACAAATTCTGATTATATCAAGACAGCAAACTACAGAAAATATCAACAGTTTGGCTCATTCATCAGCATACACTGAAAGTCAGCCCCACATAATGGGACTAAGAAGAACCTGCCAGCCTGTGCAGATGGAGGAAATCAATCAAATCTGTTGTTAGTCTCATTCGAGAGACTATAGTCTAAAAACAAGTGTTTCTGGTTCTGAGCTGCGCCGACTTTTGCAGCCCTGAGCAAACATTAATGAAACTACCTGGAACTACCAGAGTAATGCTTATTATGTCAAAGACAATCTCTTTAAAAAATATGTTACCCTAACTATGTTACACTAAGCTTTTTAATCTCTGTTAAAAAAAAGAACACAACAGATTATTAGATCATCATTAACAACATGCACACTTGTTTTGAGAACAGAATGTTGGAGAATCGATGTATTCTGCACCTTTATAGCGCACTGTAGGCAGATTACCTGCCCATACGTGGGATGCATAGACACAGCCAACTGAACAGATAGTATATATATAGGATGACAGATGTTTTTCCGAGCCATTACTCTTGTAATGTAAATCAGCCATAATCTCAAAATGAGAAAGTGTGCTGAAAGTAACCTGAAAAGAGGGGGCCTTTCAGCGTATGTGTGTTCAGGAGGTATAAATGCCAAGTGTCATGTCAAAGCTCATCCTCTTTACGCCATAGATGATGCATCCTCTCTCTTTGATACTCACTCTAACTCTCTACTGAGGTGGAAAAACAGTGGGGGTTACAGAGAGAGGTGTCAGACAGCGAGAAGCGCAAAATGTTGGAGGGAAAGGAGCAGCGAAGGGCGATAAAGAGAGATCTCCTGCTCCGCGTGGTGCTTTATGGGCACTGGTCATTTTCTGTCACAGTTTGGGGAAACACCAAACTCCTATTTGTTTTACGCGTGTGTTACAGGGTGGTGAGGTGGGACTGTGAGATGGACGTTTCAAGTCTGGAAGGTCACTTCGATATCGTGATGTGCGCAGACTGGTATGTTCACACACACACACACACACCACGCACAAGCACACAGATTTATTTCTTTGTGTGCATTTATGACATTCACTCTCACTTTTGTGCGACAGTCCATGCATGGCCCCCCACCAGCGTCTGGACCGTCCCCTGCCTTGTCCACACACTCACACACTCATTCATACGTATGCACAGACGCCCGCCTGTCTCCATTTTACACCAAATTGCCTCGTTTTCATGCTTGGTGTCCCAGCAAATGGATGACTTAGGCAAATTGCAAATAATTGCGTCTTGACAAGGAAGGAGAGTCGGTTAGATAAAGGAAGAGTTGAGGGTGGATGGTAGGAGGAGTAGAAATGGAGATGGAAATGGAGAGATAGAGCAACATAAACATGACAATTAGCCCATCGGTCATTCAAATGCAGATCTATGGGGATTTTTTTTCTCCACTACTTGTATATAAAGTTACCATCATTATTTGAGAGTAATATAAAGTGAAAAATATGACGAAAGAAAACAGTCATCTTTTAAAGAGTGTATTACTTTTTTTTTTTGGAGCTGATTATTTAACCTATTTTCCCAAAAAGTCATACTGTGTGGAATGCAGAAGACAATGCTTGATTTTATTAAAACTCTGTGTGAAATTAAAAGTTTGTCTGAACAAAGTGTAATTTACATTTGAAGACCCAACAATACAATATAAGATTGTACAGTTGGGATTCATTTAAAAAAAAATGTATATCTACAAACATTTATGTTTGTAGATATACAGTATATACTCATTGATCTTTTTATGTTTAATAATTGTTTTTTTCAACTTTTTTCTGTGTTCTGTTTTCAGTTAAATATGTGCTAATAATCTGCAAATCATGAAATACATTACTAATTTACACTTTTTTCTTAAAACGTTTTTGTAGTGGTGTTCGCAATAGACCATAGAACATTGTAATGACATATTTCTGGCTATACAAACAGGGCAGTAATGGTGTGTATCTTGATGCCTGAAGTCTGCACGCTTGGTTTATTAGCTAACACGCTTCATCATACCTGACAATCTATGTACGCTTTGCAATTGAGTCCAAAAGATAGTGTATCATCCTGAAAATAGTCCAAGTTTGAAATGGTAAGAAAAGTACATTTACAACAAAAATCCTAGTTGAGTTGTCTGAAGGAGTAACTGACTGTCTTGGATTCCCATGAGAGGAGCCAGAGAATGTTTCTGGGGAGGAGGATGTTTGGGTTTCTCTCCTTGACCTGATCTTGGATAAGCAGAAGATTAAGATGCAGAAAGTACAGTATAGTACTAATTAAAACTAACAGAGATGGTGTGCCAACTCACCAAATAAGTCTGCTGCCAAAACCAAAGAGAGCGCTTAACAGTGAGTACTGCCTTTTGATTGGATCGTTCTCCATTATTTGGTCTTGTTCCAGTCTTTGGGTGTGGTCTTACCTGTCATTTTAATTGCTCGTGCAGGCAGTGATGGGAAACTTTTGCGAGGCTATACCTTTCCCACCTTCACAAACACTGAACTAAATGAGCTTGCGTATACTGTTATGTACGTGGCCATTTGCGCAAGTGTGTGCTTGTGTTCTAAGTGCTGCATTAGCAAATGGCGTTATCATTATTTTAATGTCATGGTCATTACAAGTAATAGTCAGGTACAACATCTAGAGAGAGAAGGAGAGCATGCAACTAATAGAGGGTATTTTAGACTGGACTAGTTCTCTGTGTAAATCTGTGTCTGTGACAGATAGAAGCCTGTTGTGTGTGAATACAAAAAATTGGATGTAAGACTTTGATACGGCAGGTTCTTTTCCTGTTTATCTCCGATCCAGGCTGTAGCCACGGATCCGTGCGCATTCATGTGCCGGGATATGTTTGTGGGGTGCCGTCTCTCCCGCGTACGTATGCGAGTGATTGCAGTGCCGATGGCTGATGAATTAACCGGCGTATCATTGTGACGATCGCCTTCAAAAAGGTCAACAACTGCAACTTCCACTCCAATTTATTTCAGCTCCTACCGATCCACCACTGAGAGGAGATGAAAGCGGAGAGGCGGAGGGGGGCTCAGAGACTTTAGTGTAATGTTGTGTATGTGTTCTATGCATCGTCAATAGGATGGTATAATGCAAAAATATTTAGTTGTCAATGTTGTAGCCATTTCATGTACGCAATAATCTAGATAAGCAGAAATTTAAAACACAATCCTTTGGTGGAAGTATTTTACCCGCTAAATAAAACTTTTACACATGCGGTTCGAGGATGTTTTCCACTTTCATCTTTTCAATTTAATCCATTTCCAGGGATATATCAATTTCTCTTTTTTTTATCTCCGGTTTTGAATGTTGTCTGAAAGTTCATGAGTAATTGATTTGTTACTGGTGGTTGAGTGCAGTTTGTCAATTAACATAATGTATATTAGTTTGGAGCCCTTTTTGATGCATGATGTGAAAACTTCTAATACATATGCAGGGAACATACTTTAATTAAGTTTGAAAAATGGATTCACCTAAAGCTTTTGGGAACACTGTCTGGGTGCCTCCTCAGGTTTCTGTGTATGCGTTTGTCTCACAGTCTCAGAGTCGGAGTGAAGGATTCCCGCAGTGGGCATGTGGGTGGCAGAGAATCTTTGGCGGGGATGTTGGCATGTGTGGTTTCCCAAAAATCTGTCCATGTGTGGGCGAAGAGATAAAGCCCTGTGCATGTGTCTGTATCCGTGTGAAAGAGTTAGCATCCGCCTCCTTTTATTTTCCCACATTACGTTTTTTGCACCGTCTGTATTTCATCATAGAGCTAAATTGATTCAGTTGGTAAATTGGACACATCAGTGGGGCATTTGTTTACAGATCTGAAATATAATTTCATTTCAATTTGCCCCCAAAATTTTGCTTTTAAACCCCCCCCCCCCCTTCAAGAAAAAAAGACCCCACCAAATGATGTCATTTATTTTAGCAGCTTTAGCCTTGCGGCCTTGAAAATATGTTTGCATACATGTCTAAGCAGACAGATATAGAAGCAGTCCTCTAACGTACACACCCCTGCTTTGTCCATTGACCTCGAGTCAGTTTTGACTGCAGTCTACTGGGCTGTCCTGGGTGGGAGGGGTCACTGTGAGACAATAGGCCTCAGATGGTCTGGGTGCATCAGACATGACCTCAAAGGGGAAGACAGCTCAATGTGGCAGTATGAGCCTGAGAAAAAAAACAGTAAAAGTCAGTAAAGCTGTGTAGCAGAAAGATTCTTCATGTTAAATATGGTCCATAATAGTGTATAGTCATAGTACGACATACCAAGAACTAGTATTAACATTAAGTAACTGTCAGGTAGAGATTATCTCAGTTTAAGTTATGACTTCCAGCATTATGACTTTCAGCATTATCAGCTTAAAATGTTTTAATTGAAAAAACTAGTAAAACCAAAAACTGTTGTTGATGTGCCACTGATTTAATTAGATAGAACAATATTTTGTTGATGTCAAAACCGCATAAAGAAAAGTGAATTAGCGTCAAAATATGAGACTTAAAGCTGTCGTGTTTGTGGATAAGCACTGCCAGCTGGCTTTGGGGAATATTTCTTTAGAATTTCTACTCTTGTTTTTTAATCTTTTTATCTGATCCTTCTGCGTCGGGGGATTTTAAAAATGCTTTAGCTATTAGGGCTTTTAACTAGTACATACATTATTATTTCCTGAATAATAGCTGATTTAATATGTTCCTGCTCCAATTCATTTTCCCTATTCCTCTTATAATTATATTTGTCTTTCAAGTATTTGTGAATTATGAGCAGTTCTTTAGCTTTTTTTTTTTGCTAAACTGCCCCCCGAATGACATTCTGTCCTTCCCCTGGCCTCGGTGGGATTGTGTGTGTCTGTGTGTGCGCTTCAGTCGTTACCTCCACCCCACGGGCTCGCTTCCTTGTTTTGCTTGCCACTCACTTTTCCTGTGAATTGATATCTGTGGCAAAATAAACCAAACAGAAACCTCTCACCTTTCAAGTCAAATAAACTTCACGCCTCTGCTTGGCCTTGGAAGAACAATAAACTTGACACATGTGTGCCCGCATCCTGGTTGTGACAAGAGTGGGTAAAGGTGATTTATCCATTTCTTTTTTTACCTTCATTCTTTTTTAATTGCTCCCATAAATGCTCACACACACACTCTGGCTGTATTCATTACAGATAAATGAAAAAAAAAACAACACATCTGAGTAGATATGAATGGAGATACTACGGTAAGATTGTGCTATATCTGCCTCTCATTCCTCGTCGGGATCCCAGGATTTTGAGTGAGGAGAGGTCAGAGACTGTGATTCGGAGGTTGATTCCAGATTACCACTCCACTGGCCAGTTGGACGGATGTACAGGATTATATCAAATCTGCACTGTATTGTTGCATTTTAGTCAAATTACTCCACACTCATCTGTGATAATAGGTGCAAGCATGCATACACACTCATTGCATACTACTTACTGGCATAATGGATTGAAATTTGTCATTGTGGTCAGACAGGCAGGTGTTACTTTGTTCAGAATGACCGGTGTGTGTATTAAACATGCTATGGGGTTCGTTGTTTACAACCTGTGTCGCAACCTTTCCTATGGGGACAAAAAGAAAGGGATTGAAACATGACTACTTCTCCCCAATTTAGTATCCCATTCATTAAAGAATAATTGTACTTACCTCAAAGGTTAAAGTGGTACAGCTGTTGCTAATAAACACATTTGTTGTATAGAGTTGTGAAACTGAGAAACTATTTTAGTCGCTGATTTTCTACTGGTCACCAGAAACCTAAAAAATGTTTGTGTTTTTCTAAAATGTTTTTTTTCTGGTACCTTTCTTCCAACAATATCTTTAGGTTTTTACGACCACCATTTTTCCTGGCTTGTGTTAGTATGCGTAGAGGAATACGAGTTCATCCAATGATGAAATCCAATGATTTAACAATTTAAAAATAACTGAATCTCCATTTGGTGACCATAGGAGCTGGTGAGGGCGTTGTCAAGCACATAAACAACTGATGTGTGAGAAGGATTTTGGTGTAATGGTTACACCTCATTACGCATTTAACATCTGCTTCATTATCTGCTCCCGTTTTTCTTTCGTTCATAAAGTGTGAATTTTAAATAAACAGATTTTTCTGTGTTTAAGGTTTAGTTGATTCGTTTTTTTTTTTACATCGATAGCTTGACTTTAGTGTCCTTTCCAAGAGTTAATTCTATCACATCGGTGTGTTTTTTCCATGCTGTCAGGTGTCTTGGTTAAACGCATGCATTTCTGCCCATGTTTACTGTAGGTGATTGTTTCTGTGCACGTTGGATTTTCTGACGTTCTTCGTTCCCCTCAGCAGGCTGAGGCGAATGCCCATGGAAACTCAGACGTAAACAAAAAGGGAGAGCATCTTACTCATGCAAATTGTTTTTCTCCTCTTCCTGCTGCTGGTGTATTTATTTGTAAACAAAATGAAATAAATAGCATTCTGCTTTATCTGGTCCTGCCATCGAAGGAATGCATTCTAACCTGCTCCCCTTCTCCCTCTCAGTTTGTTTCTCGACCAGTACAGAGGCAGCCTGGTTGATGCTATAAGGAGATTACTGCAACCCAACGTAAGTGTGTGTGCTTCTATTTGTGTGTCTACAGTACATGTCTCTGCTTATCGACTTTCCCCTAATTCACCTCCCCCTCTTCTCAATCATAATTAGGCTTGGCTCCAAACCCTACACACATTAATAGTCGGACAGGATTAATATCATGTAATGCTTTAATGCTTATTATACGCAACTTAAATGCATCGCTCTGATCTCGGCCTTTCTCTTTTCCCTTAATCATGAGTCCAAAGGCAACTTCTCCCTTTTGGCCTCACGATAAGACCCCATGCTGTGACAGCCAAAGCAAATAGGGGCATATAGCACAAGGCTGGAAGAGATAGGGTTGAGATTTCTATTCATTTGAGAGGAAAGGGGTACACTTTCTGTTTGGATGGTATGGAGAATATCTGTTTATGAGGAGGTGAAAGGGAGCTGGCCATGAGAGACGGAAGGAAAGCAGGAGGTGGAGGAATGATAATGAATAAAGTATAATAACTATAGCATTTAAACTTTGTTCCACACGACTACTTCTGACAAACAATGCTGACAGCATTTTTTAAAGATAATGCTGCACAGCTGTCCCACTGTTTTTAGAAGAATGATGTTTTATTTAAGTGTACAGTTTAGCTCAAGTCTCACCAGATGCTTTGAAAGGAGAGCACATTTAACAAAAGCCATCTGCAGTCTGTTACTTTGGCCTGAGCTGTCACTGTTCTCTTCTCCCCACTGTTCACAGGTCATCTGCCAATTTTTAGATTCACTTTTTGCCAGAAAAAAGACTGAATCCAAAACTTGAAGTTTTTTAAATGTCCTGTTAGATTAGTTTAAAACGAATAAACTTGTGATGTGTCAATGCCACGTTTATGCATCGATACCATAAAGAGTTATGATTTTGTCTAATGAATTATGCTAAGTGAATTTATAACTTCATGAACCACTTTGTTTTTTGGTGATTTTATAAAAAACAAACAAAAAAACATACTTTTTTTTTTACCATGGCAACAATCAGTTATGGAATAAAAAATACTTCAGACAGATAACATCGTTAATGACATCTTCAGGTTGTGACCAACTATAAAACGACTTTCCAGGCATCACTCTGGGCACGTGTGCAGAAACATCTGCAGGCTGAATAAGTGTGTGTTCCACGCAGAGGCTGCTGCGGTTTAATCGTAAAAGCTGACAAATGACTGACATGACATCTGGCTGCTGTTGTACAGCTGTGTGTTAAGTCTGTTTGTGTCTCTCTCTTTAATCCGTAGGAGATAAATCAGGGCCTAATATGATTTGAGTGTTGGCCATAAAACTGCTGCCGCCACAACAAGCAAAAGGCAAATATTTAATAATTTTCCTAAGCTGATTAAACAATTAACAAAGCAATTACGTCTCCCATCTAATGGCACTAATTTGTTGTTTCTGACAAAGGTGGTCCATCCGTAGGGCTGGAATCCCTTAATCAGCTGATTAGTGCTAGAAGGAATTTTGTCTGTTTGTTTGCTTTTGCTGCTTTTAGACAGCGCATGGTGTGGGAAAAAGCAACTGAATATACAGATGAAATATCATCTGCCAAACCAAGTGATCCCCGTGCTTTCATCGCCTTCATGTTCTTTTAGCCTCTGTGCGCAGCGGTATGTGTTTGTTATAAGCGTTTGGCTGTTTGAGCATCCTCTTTATTTAATTGAATTCAAACGAGTAAAACATGATCAACATGAAATAAAACTGAAAGCCGGGTGATTTCAAAGAAACTTTGAACCTGTTAGTAATCCTCTTAGTCAATTAGTGCCTGCAATGTATGTGCACACACCAACCCCTCCGTCTTCCTCATTGTCTTCTACACCTACACACGTAAGAATGTGTATTTATGTGGATAAATTCACACTCGCACATGATTTATTTTTTTTACATTGATTGGATTAGTAGAGCTTTAACTTTCTGTTTTTACAATGTTTACCAGAAAAAGTCTTGAGCACTGAACAAAAAATGGGGGGTAGAAATTATGTGTGAAGTACCCCAACACCAAAATAAGTCACCCTTTTTCTCCGGTTGTTGTTTCGTGTTCAGGGCATGGCGCTGGTGTTCGCTCCCCTGCGAGGTGAAACTCTGAGGCTGTTTTGTCAGCTGGCGCAGCAGTCCGGATTATGCGTCTCTCAGCACCAGCAGTATGATGCTGAGGTCTGGGATGTTCACTTAAAGGTGAGGAACATGTCCAAAAGGCATTCTTTTAACATGACTATGGCATAGATTCCTGCAAAAGAAAAAAAAAGAAAAGATTTTTGATGTTGAGAGTGAATGCAAACAAAAACTCAACAAATTGGTTATAAATGATTTCAAATTTTAGTTATGTTGGTAGTATATAAGGATAAAAGTTTCAATGTAATTGTAGGCGATGTAACAAAAAAAAAGTCAAATTTAATTTGGTTATTCTAGTTATTCAATTGGTTTGGTGCAAAGCTAATGACAGTTACAGCTGGTGTATCTGTATTATCTTTAACAAAATCAATACAATTTGTATGTAATTGTTGTATTTTACTGCATAAAGAAAAAGTTTGGAAACTGTTTTGTGCTTTGATGTGAAATGTAGGCTCCTGTGGATGCAGATATTTAATACAACTGCTTTTACAAACTGGCACAGGAAATAGTGGCCTCGAATAACTTTTACCTTGGGAAAAGTGCGACAATGGAGTGTCATTCTCACAAAGTACAGTGATTCTCCTTCAAATGGAAAGTCTTTGGTCAATCTACAACTTCACAAGTCCACATATCACAGTGTAATTGGTCACTCAGTTCCACAGTAGTAAAAAATTCCACCCAAAGAATGTAACATGAAGATGAATATGCCAATTTAGGCGACTGCTTCAGATGATTCCAATTCAGGAAGAAGCCGGAATTCAATGGTAATTTGTTGTTTTGAATTTAAATATCTGATTGTGCTGCCAGTATTGTCAACTGGTCTAGATAAAATATATAGATAACCATGTTCCAACAAAAATATTTGGTCAAAAGCTCATACGACAACCACCTTTCCGAATGAATCTCATCCAGTTTTCTTCACTGTGTCATCTGTTTCTGTCAAAGCAGTTTTCCTGACGGCGTGAGGAAATAAAAAGAATTTATACTGAATGTCTTTTTACTGCAATAACCATGTTTTTGGAGAAAATATTTTACAGGGCCCCATATCGAGGCCTCCTGTCAAACTACAAAACTGTGCTCATCATGTGATCACGCCATCCTATAACAATTATTTTTAATCTACTATCTTTAATAAGGAAAATTATGAACAAACATGCAACGTCCAACCTGAACAGAGTTCCCTTTTGAACCGCTTTCTCATTTTACAAGAGACACCTGAATAAATCGAGCTGCCTTAACCTGCCATTGCAACACTAAGAGAGGGAAGAAAAAGGATTGTGGAGAAAAAAGGAAGGAGCGACAGAAAGCACAGGAGTTGGCTGTGTTAAAAGAAGTGGTGTCCAGCTGTTAACTCCATTACACACACAGCTACAGAGGAAGAGGACAGCAAGAAGTGGGCTAAATTGCTGTGCACACGTTCCCCTGCTGTACACTGGTGAGACAATTGGACAGACTGGACCTTAAAGTGCCCGTTAATGAGTCCAAAACCTCCGTGAGGTAAATTTAACTCCTTTCCTCCTTCATACTGCACGTCTGCTGCAATGGTATCCATTTGTAAAAAGTAAATCACATTTAATATTTTCTTAGACGTAATGTGATGGAGGTCAGTGAGTGGTTTATCATATCGCCCTGATCTTGTGAGCTTCGTAGTATTAAATATTAGCTTAAAGTAGGAATTCATGTTTTCCAAGAACGTAGACCATTCAGGCAGCACATCTAATAATTGAACATTTATTATGTTCATATGTGAAGGTATCCAAGCTTCATATGAGATTTAAAAAAATTAATCAGAAAACAGTATTCAAAGTTCTGCATTAGAACGGCCTTTAAGAGCCGTGACCATTAACATGTTGACAAGTTAATGTAGTCTTGATGTGAATCGAAATCATTTAACTCCAGTGGCATTGGAAATAAATACAGTAAATGCTCCTATAATAAGTAATGGCATTCATTGTTCAGCACATCCGGCCTGTATCACACGCAGGCCGATCACATAAAGACAGCAACAGCAACAGACGCCGCTCTTCACCACTCCGTGTCAACCTGAAAACGTTACATACTATAACCTTTCCAGAAACGGTAACACTGGGTGAAAACCTCAGCACCTGAGCGCTGTCACTCGGCCGTAATCGGATGTGTCTGCGCCTGTCAGATCGCAGCACTCTGACAGTGAGCAGACGTTTACAGTCCCGTCAGGGCCCGTCTCCTTCCACAGCAGAGTGTGCCTGCAGGAGTCATCGGGGATGTCACACAGAGGTTTTCATTCATGCAGGTTGGGTTTGCGCCATCCCCGATAGTGTTGGCTTTCGCTTGATGTTTGGGGACATTTTACCACCCAATGTGTTTATTTCCACTCATGAAATGCATGTTAGAGCGTTTCAATAAGAGCTAATCCGGAAAAAGGTGGTCTGACCATTTCGTCAAAATGGGCCTATATAGACACTTCAAGGCTAATTATGAGTGATGTCATCCCTTCAGTCTACATGCGTCGTCATCTGTAGCCAGGTTGTGATTTGTTGTGTCCTCCAGCCATTATTCAGTCATATCCATTTAAAAATATTTACATCACAAGCGGGTTAAACCTCCATCTGTTCTTTAAAGTTGATGGTACATCGGCAGCAGACTGGTTTTGAGGAACATTTACAAAAATGTATTCGGTAAAATTTCAACAGAATAAAAAATGCTGTAGATTTTTTATTAATTTAAAGTTAGATGTGAGTCATGCGATCAACCAGTTATTAATATAAGGTACCTTAAGTAATCAGAAGAGACATTGTGCATTTTTAACTGATTGAGATGGGACAATTCTGTTTCATATCAGACCAAAAACATTATTTATCACTGTCAGAGTCTGAGTCTGTGGATTATTACTAGTTATCTACTATTAGTTTATTATTTGTATGGTTTTTAAGGAATTATATGAGGAACTCACAACTTGAGGAAAATCTAAAATTAATTTTAATTTAGTCCCAAACTCTGAATAAACTGAAAAATTGATGGAATATTTGGATCAATGGTTTTAAAGAATATAAGAAAATGTGTTCTGAATCATTTTGTTGTAACCAAATATTCCACCTATGTTTCTGTATGGAATTAAATTTATTAGATATCCTTAAACTAAATCAGGAGTTTTTTACATCTTGAGTAAAAAAGTCTTCTTAAAAAAAGAGTCATTTAAACAGGCTGGTGAACGCAGGTTTAAAAAAGTACAAAAAGTCAAAGTAAACAGAGAGAAACAGCCTCTCGTTCGTTAAAGCGCATGCAGCCATGTCTAAAACCTTTAAACTGAAGTAAAGCTTTGTTATGAAAAGCTGTGGCGAGAATTGATTGGTCCTCAAGGCTGCAGACCACAGACACTGAATAATTCTCATGGTTCAGCACCTCAACCGCTTGAGAAAATTGCCACTCAGCCTGATTTACTTGTTGTTTGACAGTGTGTGTGAGCTGACAATTGTAAATTTCAGTTTGAAGTAACACAAAACCGTCATCTTAAGCGTTGGGACAAAAACCCCGCACAGGTCGTGCATTTTCCACGTGCTCAGTGGGGTCAGGTGGTGTGTGTGGATATCAGGACGAGTTGAAGTGTCCGCCTCACATCCAACAGTGATTAAGTCTCCTCTGCTTATCTTATGGTGGACACAGGGAATAAGCCCTCAGTGGATTTCCTGCGTGTTTCTCTGAGCGTGAGGTGCCCAAATGATCATTCTAGACTCACAAATCCAAACTCACACTGAGCACAGCTAAGAAACGAGCTATATCACATCTCAGACATCACTCAGACAGCATATTGGCCAGACATTACACACAAACACACACCACATGATCTTATCACAAGGGAAACATACACTAGCCCTGTGCACACGCATGCACATCCAAATGAGCAGCTGCCGCTCATTTGCACTGCAGATTAGCTTTCTTCAGCTAAATTTGCTTTCAGCAGGAGGACCCACAACAGAAGAGAAATGCACATCAGAAATGACAGTGGGTCACTCGCCATGGATTTTCTCCCACGTTGCTTGAAACGATCAAAGAAACTTCCCCAAGCATGCGTAAAGTTGTTTGGTTGTTTAAACATCAGCATGTGTGTGTATGTGACTGCAATACCGAAAACTCTTAAATGGTGTAGTTTCTAAGCAAGTGTTTTTGATTAGATCAGTGGCCCATATATGATTTGGGTACACCAACACAAGCACTGCCTGAACCCCCAAAATTAATCTTTTAGCCTTTATCATAACAGTATCATTTAGCTTTTGCAACAGACAGATATTCATTACAAGTCTGGACTACAGAACAAAGAAAAATATACATTTAAAGAGTTAAAGTTTTTAATCATGTGGTGAAATGTGTATGTTTGATAGATCTACTAAATTAGCAAAATAATTAATGTGTTAAAAATGCTTTTCATTTAACCATATATTTGGCACAAAATTCTGTGAGGGGTATAATGGCCTTCTTTTAGCATGTTTAGGGGTGGAGCCTTCCTGCTTGAGTTTTACAATTTGAAAAATTAATTAACTTTTACCATTTGTTGTTTATGTTTTTTGTTTGTTTGTTGTCTTTAACGGCAACATCTAACTGAAAAAATATCCAAAACATTCTGTAAAGGTTCTGATAACCCCTTCATAAGCTGGCAGAAGATAATACTCTGTGTTAAAAGTATGGTTGTTCCAAGAAGACTTCTTTTAAGAACTCAGGATAATGTCTCTCGGTATATAAAAAAAGTCTTCCTGAAAGAAAGCAGCTTGCTTTAATTTAAAGCCACAGATGGTGAAAGGGATTATGATGGCAGGACTAAAAAACAGATGTTTTACAAACATTTTATCTGGTATTATAAGCTGTAATAGAATAGAAAATTCTAGGAACATACGGGACGGAAATGAACTTGAAAATTACCTTTTTTTGTTTCTCGGAAATGGCCACATTTCTAAATAAGGTCAGCTACACAAATGCATGTGCACCATGTAAGGATGTTGTTAAGAAGAACAAAGAAAAAAATATATTCTCAGACATTTGCAGGCCTAATTCTGTTTGTTTGGGCATCAAATTACCTGAAAATCTTATTAAGTTCTAAATAACCTCAGAAACATCCTGGGAACAATTTCCCAAAGTCGCAGGGAATTATATTCCTCATTACAATCAAACATTATGGCAATGTATGGAATATTGAATAGTGTCTTGCTAAACAAAAAGTACCATAAATATCCACATTGCTGCACATAAGCATTTTTTCTTGTGTTTTATCATGTTATTTTATCCTAAAGAGAAATAGTAAATAAATGAGAAGGACTGGTAGCTTAAGTCAGCCAATAATCTGAGAAAAAAAACTGTTTGGTCAAACAATTACAAGACTAATTTATCAATCGACACCTGCATCTATATTGAAATCTGGGATAATAGAATATTCTTGTCCTTTTAAGGTGGCGGTCATCAAAGCTTTAACAGTTTTTAAAAAATCCTCTGTCAGCTTGCTGGATAGGTTGCCAGTCCTTTGTGGAGGAACCTTTGTGATCACATCATCCAGATTTGATTCCACTGACGGCCCTGTAGTTGCGTTAATATCAAGATGCAAAACATCTCCAAAGTCCAAACTTGCTCAAACTTTAGCCCAACTGTGTTTCATCTTTAAAATGAACCCTTTGATACTTATTACATTGTTTTTAGTTCAATATTTTTCATCCTTCCCACAGTGTCACATAAGCTCCTCCACCTAGCACAGATTTTGTTGCACATGCGCCTGCAGTAGCCGTGAATATTCCCGCTTTCCTCCCTGTGCCACGTTGGGCATCTCAGGTGCGACTGTGCGCAGCCAGCTTTGCGGTTTGTTTTGCATGGGTTTGTGTGCGAAGGAGGGGTGTGTTTAAGCCATTCTCTGAAAGCTGTCTCTGAACCCCTCACTCACAACTCTGCTCAGTTTTTCCAAACACACACACACTTTCACACTCTGACACAAACTCACTCTAAGGGACCGGTGACAGCAGGCAGGAAGGCCAATGTGCACCGGTCGTGTGTCTTAAGCACCCTTCGCGCTCGTGTGTGTGTGTGTGTGTGTGTGTGTGTGTGTGTGTGTTAGATTGCGGGTGTGAGGCGTGTGCTGGGACGGCAGACAGGGCCAGCGCGTTATCCTCTTATCCACACTGTTGTGGAATAGAGAGGCAAGCAGCTGGAGGGACTGCAAGCAGCCTGATAATGCCAGCGCTATTTTCTAACCCGCCATCTTAATCTTGTTACTCAAATGGTTGTGAAGGGAGAGAGTCATGAATTTTAATTTTTCTCCAACACACACACTCAGACATACGTGTGTGTGTGTGTGTGTGTGTGCACGTGTACATCGCTCGTCTCACATACATGAATAGTATCCCCACTGTGTCCGTGCATGCTCTCTTTTCCCTGCCTCCTTTTTTCTGTCTCCCTGTTTTTTTCTTTCCCTTTTCTCTCTCCAGGCTGCCAGGCTTCCCTTCCTCATCCCCTCTTTTCTCGGACATATCTTCCCTCACTCTTCTCTGCTATCGCTCCCCTCTGTCCTCACATTTCCTCCATCACAACCCACTTCGCTATTTAGTCAAGCCTGTCCTTCTATCCCTTCCTCTACTCATCTCTCCATCCACCCAATCCCTCATTCTCCATTTCTTAATCCTGCCGAGAGAGACCCCAGACATCCGGTTCATCCATCCCTCCCTTGTCTCAGTCACCTCCTTCTTCTTTTTCCACTTTGGGCTTTTTTTTTTTTTTTTTTTCACAAGCAGAGAAGTGAAAAAGGGAAATGAACGGCAGAATAAAATGGAGAAACGGAATGAAAGTTGCTATAAAATAAATTATTTGCATCTTGGAAAGTGGGGGAAAAAAAGAGAAAAGATTGTGGTGGGTGGGGTTGGGGGGGGGGGGGGGGGGGCAGGTTGGGTTGAGAGCCGATTTAGCCAGCCACCCATGAAGCTGATTAGGCAGCCTGCGATCAGGAGGAACAGCTTTGCTTGTTAAACTTTTCACCTCTGCGAGCTCTCAGCCCTCACAGCGTAAGCCCCCTCCTTCTCTATCCCTCTTATGCTCCCTCTATCACTTCCTTCCTCCTGCCTGGTAGATCGTGAATGCTGGCTGGTATCCCCCCCC